GTATGGATCAGAACCAGAAAGGCTGTGGTCGTATGGATCAGAACCAGCAGGAGGAATCATTTCCAACAGGTCTGTGAAAGGACTGGGTGTAAAAATAATAATAATAGAGAGGTTGCTGCTCTCAGGTGAAGATGAGCAGAGGTTCACAATCTGCAAACAATAATTTAAAATCATCTTAAAAGAGAACGGTTTTAGAAAAAAAAAAATAGTCCTTACTGTGAAGACTTTAAATTTATCATTATCTCAACTGTTCAAAATAAAGGAGCCCAACTTTTTATTTCTTTCTTTTTATAGATGTGTTTCTGCCACAAAAACTCAAAATTACCTGAACTTTTCAGAAAAAAATTAAGTCTTAATTTAAACATGTGTTACATTTACAATGTCCCATGGTTTTATGTTAGCAAATTATTGCATTTTGTTTGTCTTTATATTTTACATACATTTTTTAAGGACTGACGTACAAAATGATCATATTTTAACTCACTTGATCTACATGTAGAAACAAAAACATATAAAATGTGAATTATTATGTTTTAGGATAAGTAGTGATAAACAATTCAAGTCTAAAAAAATGAGATGAAATACAAACTTATTGTGCCACCTTGTGCATATTGTTTGTTTTTTTCTTTCAAATTTGTAAGAGAAAGAATCCATCCATCCATCCATCATCCATCTTATTAACATCAACAAACATCTAACAGTTTTATCAATTCTCAGTCAGCATGACGTCATCCATCAATGTGATGCCAAACTGCCATTTTTGGTTGGGGGAAAATATCGTGTTGAAAGGTGAAGTAGATTAATTTGTTTTTATCCAATTTATTCCTTCAAGTGTTTGTTAGAATGCTATTGTTGTTGTTATAATGGTGTTGTTATGATGTTGTTATTGGTAGAATTTTATTATTAGAATGTTGTTGTTAGAATGTTGCTGTTGTTGTTAGAATGTTGCTGTTGTTGTTAGAATGTTGTTAGAATGTTGTTGTTAGAATGTTGTTAGAATGTTGTTGTTGTTGTTGTTATAGTGGTGTTGTTATGATGTTGTTATTGGTAGAATTTTATTATTAGAATGTTGTTGTTAGAATGTTGCTGTTGTTGTTAGAATAATGTTAGAATGTTGTTGTTAGAATGTTGTTGTTAGAATAATGTTAGAATGTTGTTGTTAGAATAATGTTAGAATGTTGTTGTTGTTAGAATGTTGTTAGAATCTTGTTAGAATGTTGTAAGAATGTTGTTAGAATGTTGTTAGAATGTTGTAAGAATGTTGTTAGAATGTTGCTGTTGTTAGAATGTTGCTATTGTTAGAATGTTGTTAGAATGTTGTTAGAATGTTGTTAGAATGTTGTAAGAATGTTGTTAGAATGTTGCTGTTGTTAGAATGTTGCTGTTGTTAGAATGTTGTTAGAATGTTGTAAGAATGTTGTAAGGATATGAACGCCAGATAAAACCCCGATGGATACGTGACTCAATGACCCAACGGTGTCCCCCGAGTCGATCTCATTTTCCTCTGTTGTCATTCTTTGTTTAAAACAGTTCTCTATTGTAAACGAGTCCTCGAGGCTCAATGAGACTAATCTGTAGAAATAAAGGTTGAATGAATTAAAAACTTAAAAGATGCTACACCTAAGCCAAAGAATCCAGTAAGACTTATTTTCCAATAACTCACAGTTGTAAAGCTCCTCCTCATTAAATGTTAATATTCAATATATTCATTGTTCTGCTGTTTATGATAATTGTCAAAACGAAGACCGTCAATCAGCACTAACTTGAACAGTCTAATTTATGTAACGGCACTTATTAAACAATTCAGGATTAACATAAACTAACATGTAAAAGACTTATAATTAATATATAAATGGCTTTGAAGGATCTAAGAACAACAGAGCGTCTAACATGATTATACAAAATCTTTTGTTCTCTCGCCTCCATCCCTGTTTTCAGCACTCTCTATTTCTGTTTGTTTTGTACAGTTCAGGTTTAGATTCACTCGAGGCAGTGGACAAGTACAGATCTTTTTATAATAATTTATTTTATGCTTAAAGAAATAAAAAATACAACGATGAAAACAGACGTATGTGTGGTGCTGCGTGGTGACTAAAGTGTGCCTACAGCAGCTCCACACGTTTCCTTCTCGGTCTGAAACATTGAATCTTTTCTGTTTGGATGTTTCTTCTTGTTAGTCGTGCAATCATTCACAGCAACGTCTCTTTATTTGTCAACTTCCCCCACACCACCATACTGGCAGGTCTGACATACTCTCCAAGGGGGCGTGTCCTCCTCCTTGGAGAGTATGTTCACGTGACCACGTACCCGGATGTCCACCTTTGAGAATTATGGACTCAAGTTATTGTGACTCAAACCAGTAATCAATTACTGGTTGAATATTAACAGTTTATCATGCAACTGAGTTATTTAACATAACTAAGCACTTTGGCAATAGCTGCTGTTTAAAATGTGCTTTATAAATAAAGTTGACTTGACGATTACTTAGAGGGATTTTATGCAGATGTCTTTACAAAATTGCAATGAAACATTTTCTTTGTATTTAGTGTACATGTTTCTTCAATCACCAAAAGCTAAATAATATTTCTGAGCTGCAAAGTAAAGTACATGTTACTGCAGAACTTTCTGGACCACATAAACAAGTAAACATGTTGTTTTGATGCTCATAACAATCAAAACAGTTATGGTTCCTAATGCGGAAGTGTGTTTGAATGGCAGAGAGTCACGTGACTGAGCTCTGCTGAGAAGGACTTTTCTCAAACAGTGAGATCTGAACACAAGAAGTGAATGAAGGCCATACCTGCGGCGGATGCACTTTTAAACGGCCAGGTGTTCACAGCAAGAGGTAACGGTGCTTGTCCGAGAGAAAACGGTGATGAAGAGAAAATTAAGACGAGCGGTAGAAACATGTTGTCCTGTTTACAGATTCACGGACGTTACGACGACGTTACCTCATGATAATTATTGTTTAAGGTTCGTTACTTGAGGCAAACAGAGAAAAAAACTAACAAGAAGTTAGTCCGGAGAAGCAGCTTTAAAGTTGAATAAGTCTTGAGTTCACCGAGTTTGTAACTTCCTTGTTGTGTCACGTGATGAGTGGGCAGGTCTGTCATTAAAGGGACAGTGCGGTGCGTGACGTCATTAGCCTGTACTTTTGGCAGCTTACCGGTAGTTACCTGGCAACACGCACACGCACACACACACACACACACACACACACAGACAAATATATGT